AAGAATGGCAGAACCACTGGTCTTAAAATTTCGTCCCGATATCGAATGCCGGTTCAATTGCAATTTAACACAACAAGCCTGGTACGAGTCCCCCCATAAATACTACCCCAAACCATTACACTTCCGCCGCCAAAGCGGTCCCGTTCTGCGACGCAGCAGTTCGCAAAACGCTTCCCTCGTCGCCTCCACACTCTGCGCCTTCCGTCATCGTGTTGCAGACAAAACCTGGACTCATCTGAAAACAGAACATTGTTCCATTGTCGTAAGGCCCAACGACGGTGAACACGGGTCCAGTTACGCCGATTATTACGGTGACGTCGCAACAAATTGTGTCCAGTGTATGGACGCCACGCTTTCAATTGGTAGGCCCTCAACCTGATGCGGACTGCTTGGGGAGGCACACGACGCCCAAACAATGCCCTTGTAGTCTCTACTGCGGTTACAAATCGATTGCGCAAGTGTATCAATCGTATACGACGGTCATCCCTGGCGGTCGTTTTACGGGGTCGGCCGCTTCGAGGAAGATCGGATGTTGACCAAGTTTTAATTTAAACGACTTACCAACTGGCAAATTGTCCTTACACTGCAACCAAAATGCCGTGCAACTCGACGGCGAGACTCCCCAGCCTGGATCATGCATACAGCCCTTTCTCTCTGTACTCGTGACAGCCGGGGCATAATGATAAAGTTGATAGATAGCAAGAAACTGAACGCTGAGTTGTTCTGCGCTTGTAAAAGACCTTTCTTAAAAAATAATGTTGCCTCTGTGCAATTTCAAATTCATGTAATGTAAATTTCAGCAGAGTACCAATCTATAACAATTATCTACATCAACGGAAACCCGTTATACATTGTTTCTCAACAGAACAATTATCAATCAGGATAATGAAAACTCATTAAAAGGTGAAAACATGTTTTCGTGGCGTACCTAAAGTGATGAATTTAAGTGGACTAGGTATGTCGCATGCTATGTAGATATATCAGCTCATGGATATTTAACTAGTGAAAAAAGTTGATGTCATATGTAAATGCCCGTTTAAATTGATAGATCCATGCTGACTAAGTTTTTGCATGGTCTGATGGTCGTTTCATTACTCATGTAGTGTTTAGATGCGTGATGTTTGCTCACATCTTTGATTGATATATAGGTCTGCGTGGTGTAGCTGGCGAGAGAAATCTAAGACATCTAAATGCATTGTACCTCAATTTGTATCTTTACAAATAATTACAACAGACACATAATTGATAAATTCCACTATTTAACGTAGCACCAACAACTCATCTAGTATAATGCAGCTGTTCACATAGAATATACATGCAATACCAAGGTGTATAAGGTATTTTTGCAGGAACTACCAAGATGCTATCTTTCATAATGTTTATTCGGTTACCTATTGGTTACTGAGATTTCTGGAATAATGGCTTTAAAGAATCAATACAAATGGCACGCAGAATGTACCTGAATTGAATCACCTTTACATAACATACACGTTTCATGTGTAAACTACCTAAAAAACGTATGTTTCTAAACGACGTTTATTTTTTAAGATAAGCCGAAATATACACAGGAATTATAGGTATTAGAATAATAAAAAATTACCGTGAACTTTCATTAAAAGTATCAGTTTCAGGAATATGTGAGTTTCATTTTAAGCAGCCGAAATACATAGGTGCTGAATACAAAAAAAAAAAAAAAAAAAAAAATTATCCATATCGTTCAGCGTCACGTTTTATGATACAACTAACACAATTTCCCGTACATCGTATTGGTATTTTTACAGATATTACCAAACTGTCACTGTAAAGACAGAACTGTATGATGCAGTTTAATTAATTTTTGGCACTTGTTTCTTTACATGTTTTTCATTAAGGAACTAAATTGCATGTAATTTAACAAAGTTCAACGAAACATATATTTAAACAAACATTCAATAATCGACTTAAAATATATGCTTTACATACAATATTAAATAGTCCCTTCTTTGGAAAAGATATTTACAACAATGCTGGAGCACATCATGATGTAAACTGACAGATTGAAAAGAATGATAACAAGTGAGTACTTGTTTCATAAATTGACACATGAGTGGCTAATGGTGAAACAACAAAAATGTATTTATACCTCGAGTTGAGGAAAATGAACATCTAAGGTCAACAGTTACAAGACTCGTCCGACACATATCATCGGATCGCATATATTAGGAGAGCCAATTATGATGATTTACACGAATATAACAACCACGGAATGGTTTCCATTTTGATTCTGTCGTAAATATAACCTGCTTTTGTATAAACAAAAGTATCAGATATATCTTGATTTATATCTTGATTTATATATTTACAAGGAAATTCAATAGACACAAATTAACTTGATATCAAGCCATTTCTCGAAACCTTTGCTATTACACAACATCCCAATATTGCTGACTGTACATATATACAAATGTATACAACTTTAGTTGTGAGGGCTCTTAAGTGTTCCTCAAATACCGTTGGATAACCCGATTATGTTAGTTAACTGATAATGTCTAAATTTGCAAAAATTGGCATCGAGTTTTATGTTCACAGGTTGTGTGATATTCAAGTTATATGACATACTGGTTATGTGTTATACCAGTTGTGAAATGTACAGGTTATGTCATGTGCTGATTTCGCTTGTGACATTTTCTGAGCCGTGTTAATTGTGAGGCCACATGTCACATCCTGACTGTAGGACACCACGAAGTGTATACAGACCTATAACTGCCAAGTATCACTAACATCCGTGAGGAGTGATTATCCCGTGTAATATATATGCCCTTATTTAAATCTAGGTGTGTACCATGTTTTTTTTTCTATTGGCTGCATTGATCAGAAAAAGAAAAGATTTTGATTACATGATATCAATAATAAAAATGGAGAGTAAAATCTGCCATTACATGTTCTTTTCATTTATGCATTTCTCTTTATCTTTAATGAAATATATGAAATTGCCAAGGCTCGCGAAAATGAAAACCGTCTGTGTAAAGGAAGCTCTGATGAACTGAAAGCTAATGTTAGAGCACAAAATATGTTTATATACATTGGTTCGATGACAGTATCATCAGTATTATAGTTGATTTTATACCACTTTCGATTATTCAATACTTACTTTAGTTTTTTATAAATAAGCTTTGAAGCCAGGACCAGTACCTACTAATCTATGCTATACGTATAATACTCATGTTATTTAAGTTACATCTATGAAGCTTTTTATATGTGTAATCTGACATCCCCCTTCCCAAATTTTCAATCTTGTTTCTTTAAGCTGGATTTCGTTTAATAAGGTTAATAATTTCCTAAGATGATCATATAATAGTATATTTTGTCGAATACATGGTACCTGCTGCTGTCGATAAACACTATATAAATTTTTTTTTAATGATACGTTGATGCTAGCATGTAACTTCGATGTTTACGCCGATGCATTCTCTAAGCATATGTCAAATGTTCATAATAGTCTCAATATTTTATGGTATTTTCAATACACTCCTCTCTATGCGTTATAGTACCTCCTTACGTGATTACCCGCCATAAAGATAGAGACAAGATGTACTCGTATGATGTAGCATCTTATATGTTATATTGATATTGACCAGCTTATATATTAGATTCATGACAAGGAGGTGAGGGTACATCAATGGTTACTGGCACATGTCAGGTAAGCATTAAAACACATGTTACTGTCGTGCCATTTTGATCTGTTTTGTTGAGTAGGAATTGCTCATATAAACTCATTTTAAATAAAACCCGATAAGCGTTTTCGAGAATATCTATAAAGGGTGAGTCAAGAGCAATTTTGCTACAGCGTACACTGACGATAGGTTCGTTGTAGGTAATGTTACTTACTACCTGGTCTACATAGAAGACGGGAACACTAAATTACGTTATAAGAATAATTACAAGACATTTCGTGGTTCCCCTTTTTAGACTAAAAACAGAAATGTTTACTGTCAAATTACTACAAGATCTATGATATCATTTATATGTATCTTAATTTTATGAAAGCTTTGAAGGAAAAATAGATTAATATTAATAAAGAGGTGTTCCTAAATGCTAACTAATTACAGAATAACAGTAATATACAAGTGAAACCAAGGTATTCATCATTGATTTTATTGTCGTTAGTAAAAGAAAATTGGAGAATTTCATTGCAGTGATAACAAAACATCGCTCTGGCTCTCACATTCTTCAAAATTACGAAAGTTATATCATCATTAGATTTTTATATATTCTATCATTTTTTTACCAAATTGATTAATTATAATATTTCACTAGCAAAATAAAATCTACGCTTTCATATATACTTCGATAGAATAATGATAAGATAACAAAATAAAGTTTGATGGCTTTGTGACTTCACACGTAGGACCATTAATGTATGCGAGGGATGATTCCTGAAGTGGAAAGTTAAATGTATATTCCACCCAAGTTAGGAATTCATAAGGTGCTTTTTGAATTTCCCAAAATATCAACGTTTGCTACTTATTTGAGGAGTTAGGTCTAACCTAGCTAGATCGGTTTTTACGTGTTGACGCTGCCCTGATAACGTCACAACAGGTTTTAGCCTGTGTAATACACAGTTAACAAACGATTGATAAATATGACGGGGACAACGTTTTCTTTTGATAAACTTACCGTCTCACCGTTGCTTACTTCCGACATCGTGGTTTTCATATGCATCATAGCTTTCAAAACGACCACGCGATGAAAACGCTCTATTTACATTTCTAATTCGATACTGAAGAGGTGTTTCCATCAATTTCATCCGACGTGACTAAAGAAAGACTATTTAAACGCTTATTATAATTTCAATAGCCATAAGAGAAAATATGGAGCAACAAAAATATTCGTAAATTGGACAAGGTGTCTGCAATACTTGCAGGTCTGAAATTCGTGTCCAGGTGACTTGAAAACCCCATATCCTGTATCCTGATATTCCATCAATATAATATGTATCAGCATTTACCTCGTTTGGATCAGCTCCTTGATCCAGCAGTCTTCTTACTTCTCCTATGTTGTTTTCATAGACAGCATTGAATAATGCTGCAGTCTGAAAAAACAAAATGAAACTTGATTTTTTACTTGATTCTTTTCAGAGTCAAAATGTGAATAAAAATATCAAAAAATCTTTTCTGCATGTGTACTCAGTTAATATAACAATATGTCTGAAATAAATGGGCGAGAAATTGTATTATTCCTCTGTCATCGTGTTTGTTATCTGATTATACCGAACATACCAAATATAGATAACATTTGCATGGAAATAATTTTTGGATAGCGACACCTGCTTATCTATATTGTGACCAAATGGCATTTTGCCATGTATTTGGTATTCGTCTTTAAGTAATGTTAGGATTGTTTGATCTGGTTATTCTGAAAGATGTCATCATCATAGATGTTACTAATCACCACAGTGTTTTACTTGTAAATCGCAGTATTTATACGCTAAATCAGAGCAGCCATATCGTTTGTTTTGACAGCTTTGGAACTTGCTTAGACCACGTTTTCATAATATCTGTTGGTGGTGTTCCAGTTTAACAGTTTTCAATTCTAAATATCATTATATGTAAAGGTTAATTGAGATATTGTTATGTTCTGTAGATAATTTCTTCTGTTAAACTAAGTTTTTTTTTTCATAGCTCAAGCGATTTCAAGCAACACACGCTGCTGTGTTTAACATTCAAACATGTTCCTCAGTCTGCGTGTGTATGACCTAATGTATTGCTGCTTTTGTTTAATTGGATGTCTAGCGATGAACGAAGAGTTATTTCCTCAGTTTCAGTTCAAGGCCTCCTGGGCCTACAACTTTAGGCCCGTAGCATCACTGAGAGTCCTTGAAGGCCGAAACAGCTGTATGATGCAGTTTAATTCATTGTTTGATTCTACTATATTTCACTCTCAATTTTGAAAAGATGCCATTCACTTGTGTAATAAGCGGTGTATTCTTATTTACTATCTGTAGAGTTATAGAAAAGTCTGTTATAATAAGACATACTCATCTGACTATTATATATGTAAATAGAAGTCCTTTTTGCTAGGGATTCGCGTAGTTGTTCTAATATTCAAATGAAAAATACATTTTATAATGTGAAGACTATTTCATGGGAGAGTGAAGAATATGATTAAGAGTTAAGTTGATGTATGGACTCAGGTTTTAATCAAAGTAATCATTGGAGCTGTTATAATGTTATTCCATTGATTTTATATCTTTTGTTAAATTTAGTGGATGTAATGGAGCTGCATGTCTCTCCCTATCTTATTTCTTGTTATGCTTCAATGCTATTTCGTGATAGTTATATAACGAATTCTTCACATAGTATTACTCCGTGATGGCGTGATGATGGTGCATTATATGTAGAGAACGCAGTTTGTATTTTTTACGAGTGAGCCTCCTTGTGAGTGGAGTGTTATTAAAACGTATATGAGATTCCATGGTGTTTGAGCGTAGAATTTAGTTTTTGCATTCGTTGATTAATTTTTGTATATGTATTCTGATACTGTAAATGTCCCTTAGTTAAGTTACCAATGTGATCTAGTGTTGGAATGGTGCAATGACGTCGTCGATATCCGGGTAATAGACAAGATTCTACTACCCACTCATTTTTGTCGCATGGTAAGTTCGCTACAACAATCTCAAGCGGAGTTATATTGCGTGCTACTATTATTTCGTTGGTATTCGGGATTTGAAATATTCAAGAAGGAAGGCAAAAGAATGGCTACCGACAAGATGCCAGTATAGTTCCTCAAAACCTGGCATTTACCTCCGCTTTCCAAAAAAAGAAACGATCTTATTCCGTTGCGTTGCATGTATTTACTTGAAGATGCTTAAGACTCGATTGGTAGGTAATTGTTATTTTATCAAAAGGCCATGATGCAAATCAAGGACAGATGCATAGCATATATATGCTGCAATTTCCTAATATGGGCCCGAGTAAATAGACTTAACACGAGCTGGTTCAACTCTGAATAACGCGCTGTAACACGGAAATTTCATGGTGTCCATTCTATGGTAGACGAACTATTTCGTATATATAATATTTCTCCCTATTACTTTAATAACCACACTAAGCAAAGTAAAGCCAATCGTCTTAATTCAATATGATGACATTTTAACTGTCGAGATCTGAATAGCTAAAAAAAAAAACAGAAGAAAAATGTCATCATTTATGAAGATATGTTTTCCATATGTCCATTAGGATGGATATCATAAAGTGACGCACATCTGTAAATTATTGTAAGCATTGATTCATTTAGATGTTTTATTACAAGCTGGCCAATGCGTTATGTAAATGCTTTCAGCGAAGAACGTCTCCTGCAAAAGCAAAATTAAAAGAACTTGTCCGGAAATGGACACATGAATAGCATAGATCACCACAGTTAAAATGAATGAAATTATGCTATAGCAACATATAATCTCTACGGTAATAATATCAAAACAACCGCGATATTTAAAGAATCAGCGAAACTCACCAAAAAAGCAATTAATAAGCTTAGCGAAACTGTTATTGGATATTGGCTATGGATCTTGAGGTGTTTCCAAACCACTATTTGTAAAGCTAACGAGTGGATATTCAGGTAATCACAAAGTTTGAATACCGTAGGTACTTTTGTAAAAAAAAAAAAAAAAAAAAAATGCTGAACAATTATCATTATGAAAAACACATTCGGGATTAATTTTATATTACCTTCTTGCTGCCACTTGTAAAGCTGAAGTCATATTCACATGTATATGCCTTTAAAATTATTTATATTCTCACATGGATTAGAAGTTTGTTTCAATAATTCGATTGGCTCGAACTACATTTGTATTTTCAACTCTCGGCGAGTTATAATATATTGAAAAGTTGAAATAGGAATAAAAAAACGGCATGTTCCAAAATACTTTGATGTGAAATACCGATATCCATGTTTGTGCTTCGTTCAGTGTACAATATGGTAACACTAACATAAATATAGAGAGAGCAAATATCAATGGTAATATGGATTGCAATTTATATTTGACAGAAATGTATTTATTATTGTAATAGAGCGATTTCCTGACATGATGTAATATTTCATTTTGTTTATATTGAAATAGTGATTATGCATCAGCTTGCATAAGGAAAGAAATCACTTGAATATTCTTGAGATATTTGGATATTTTAAAGACCTGCATTTTAACAATTACAGATGACATGTCTGATATTGTAAAAAGGGCAACAGAATATACAATCTGAATAGAGTAACAAACGACTGTAAGTAAACAATAAATGAAACTTAACTTACTCTTTTTAATGCTTTAATAAGTCTGCCATGAACATTTTAGACACTCTGGATACAACAATTTCAAATTGCACAATAAGCCGAAGTGTCTATTTCTTAGATTTCGTTTTGCAGGAAATGCACGAGTCTCGAAAAGCGAAAAGATCAAGAAATCCTACATTTGATGATACTTCAAAAACAGAAACAAAGTCGAGAAAAAAAAATAAGAAACATATGAACAATCCTATGAAAAAAACAGATTTTGTGGAGAAAATACGTAAACGAAATATGAGTCTGTTATGTGAGAATGCAACTTTATATTGTTTCAAATGGAATATGTCCATATCCTGATATTTGTCATCACTGTACATTCATTCTGTAATTGATTTGCGGCTGCACTAATGGCAAAAACTGATAACTCTAATACGTTTTAGGAATCATTCGAATTTTTTCTCACACTCATGACCTACTTTTTATCATTGAGATTAAATTTGGCTCTAGGAAATGTCTTCATTTTGAAATCTAATTCAGATATTGGCTGACCATGGTGTGCACGTGTGTTTGATGGTGAGACTGCCATAAATCATTTGATCTTGAAAACTAAGCAGGCACCAATGACGTAAGGATTTTGGGGATGGCCCAAAGGAAAAAAAATTGTTATGAATCTTTTTGTACAAAATTTATTTTTCTTGATGAGTAACCGGAAATAGCAGCGTACCCGAAGCACACGTGTGAATGAATGTGCTCAATGACATGGTTCGAAAAAAGCATATGTGCATATTATATCAGCTGTGTGATACATTTTGATACAAAGAAGTATACATCCAATACTTGACTTGTCGTTGCCAACATTATCAGTTTTAACTAGCGGGGAGGTATATGACGTTGTCATGGATATGTCAAAAATTAGTCAGGGCAAGCTGGCAGTGAATGAACTTCAACAAATATGTAAATGCGATATCTTTATTCTGACATGCTCGTAGCGTCAGCAGTATTTAAAATTGATATTGGAGCTAATTTTAGATTAAATTGTAAGACTGATGATTCATAGATTCCTGTGTATTTTAAAAATTAACTAGTTTTCAGCGTTTATGTATAATTTTGAATGATTTTTATACATAATAAGAGTTTAATATTCCATATATTTGTATATGTATAAGAGCAACCTGGACGCAAATATCATTGTTATGATTATTGAAATTCCTAGATAATACAGAAACCACAAACAAGAATGGAAATGAAGCTCGATTAGATACAGTTACTCACTCACCTTTTTTCTGTTCGCCATTTTTTCAGTCTCTTATTATGATGCATCTACTGTTCAGTGATATAAGTCGGTGACCTGCACAGAATTAAAGTCAAATTTATTTAAGTTTTTTAGTTTCATAGGGGTATGGAAAAAATTGTTTGCAAAATTTAAACGAAACACTATTGTCGTTATCCCTGAGTAGAGATCACAGGAATATTAAAGTTGATAAAAGTCATTTCCAATCTCAAAGTTTTTGGAATAATACTGTACGCTGCAATAATTAGTCTTACTTATTTAATTTCACGCCACAGAAAGTGGCTAGTTGTGGTGTATCGGGCAACAAACCATAACTGTATACGGGTATGTACCTGACAGATCCGGATCCTGACCGGCTCGGTCGCCCGTGTTACATACACAACGCTTGAAGATTTCACCTGGGCATATATTTTTTGTTTAAAATTAAATTATATAAATGAAGTAACACAGAAGTCATGAAAATAGAATTTCCTTTCTGACATATTGAGATTTAAAATGATTCATCGCTGTGTCAAAAAGAGTCGTCCATTTGATATGTACGTATTTAATGTATCATGTGTCCGTACACTCGGCCTGGCCATGTGTGCATTGTAAGCAAAGCACTTTAAATTTATTTAGAAAAATATAAACCCTATCCCACACGGATTTGAAGTTTCAAAATTTGTATCAACCACGAATAAATCGCGCATTTATGCAATATAACGTTCGATCTAACCTTAAAATGGCACGTGCCCCCAAAAAGGTTGTAGTTACATAAGCATACTAGATATACGAATACTTGTCGCGTGTGACATAATCTGCCAATTATGTAAAGTTAAATCGCTTTGGAAATGTTACGACCATGAATCGATCACAATTTAAAATAAATGCTTGTATAACATGTGCTCTGTTAGCCATAGTCAAACAGACAGTTCTGGTAAAGAAACTCGATTGAGCGTACATTACATAACATACCATCTGCATCGTGGATATAAAGCTTTTATTTGCAATATATTTCAACAAATATTGATTGCCTTTAAAATGTCCTATTATCTGGAAGACTTTGTTCCCTTTTTTACGAATATGGTTCTACCTGCAGAATATGTATGTTGGTTTTGAAAATATTTACAGTCATTAAATATGTTCACTGTCTATAAGATGTTAGAACTGTCTGATGCATTGTAGATTTCATTGGTAATATATAAAATATCTGGAGTACATAATCAGTGAATGAGGAATATATATACTGGCTTGAGAGGAAACATCTCTTGCTATAATATATGTATGGTCGCTTTGGGATGGGTCTGTTGCCTTTGAAATATATTTATGGGAACAATAAAGTAAAATATCATTCTGTTAAAGGAATTATATGAGATCTTTACAATAAATCATGAATTTGTGAATGTGTTTGTCGTCTGTGGAATATGTATGGAAATATCACTCCCTGTCAATATTATAATTGACCAACAATTGGACAGGCTGTTTTATTTCAATAATTCGAATTTCTACCTGTTATCCTCGACACTTAATGGACTGTTTAGTGTTTTATTACGAGATCAATATTGAAGGTCGATGTTTTGTGGTTACGTCAATAATAAAGAAAAACAATTTAAATCGACTTTCGAACTACAATAATCGATTTTATATCGTTTTAAATTAAGATTTTTTTGCATAGATAGTCAACAGATTTTCGAAGCTATTTTACAATATAGAAAGCATATCGATTATTTGATATATCACTTCCCAGGTTCCCATAAAAAGTGAAAACCCAAAACAATGTAAATTGATTTATTTTCATGTAATGATACATGCTGATTATTGTTTGCAAATATATGCCGTAACATTATTTGATCGTATCCAGAATAACACTTAATAGTTTACATATATCTAACTTTACACTACACAATAAGCCTTTTTAACTTAAATGATTATTGTAATATCATTCATTTCTCTCGTCATCTTCATCTTACGATAGCATACTTTTCCAATAGTGAAAACATGCATTGATCTGGTCACTATCGTCACCAATTTTCATCTCTTTATGAATCAATCCGCGTTATGAATTAAGCTAATTCCTCATAGTTAATAAACAGTGATAAGTATAACAAATTATCAATTTGTTGATATGTCTATCGTCTGTGAAATATGTATATGTGATGATTATGTACATGATATCAAAAATGGTGTATTTGATTGAATTAAAATACCTTAAACATTTTGTTATCTCTTGCAGGTCACCAAAATAATAGTGGATGGATTACAAACTCAGACAGATCAGCATAGATATAATCACTACCGAAGCAGAGACAGATTATAAATGAGGAATAACTTTCAATTCAGTTTACTCAAAGCTCGCACAAGAGATTCAAGTAAAAAATAAATAGTTTGGTAATTCAATTTCAAATATTAATGTTACTTGATAGCAGTTAAATAGCATACGTTATTACTGAATGAACGGCGGCCTTTCTTCATCTGTAGAGTTATGAAATATTTGGAATAATTGTAGCAAACGTGTGTTAATTATTTTCAATTAATAGAGTGTGTTTGTAAGGCATTTAAAGTAATCAGACTTTCACTTTTCAACGATTTGATTTGTCAGTAAGCCTCTCTATATATAATTCCATGATTGAAAATAGCATTTGAACTAAAACATTGTTAAATAAATATTTTTTATACTCAAATGTGGCACAATGAATACGTTTCCTCTCGATTTGTTCTTAAATCATCTATTTTGATTGCACATTTTTATTTTTTCAATTTCTTTTCTTCTAACTTATTACTCGATGTTTACAACTATATCATTTAAAACATGTTACTAGTTCTATTTGTATAATATAAGTATGAAATGGAGATATCCCTCGCAGACATTATGGTAATTGACCAACAATTGGACAGGCTGTTGTATTTCAAGAATTCAAATCTCTACCTGTTATCCTCGACACTTCGCATCTAATGGACTGTTTAGTGTTTTATTACGAGATCAATATTGAAGGTCGATGTTTTGTGGTTAAGTCAATAATAAAGAAAAAAATTTAAATCGACTTTCGAACTCCAATAATCGATTTAAAATCGTTTTAAATTAAGATTTTTTTGCATAGATAGTCAACAGATTTTCGAAGCTATTTTACAATATAGATAGCATATCGATTATTTGATATATCACTTCCCAGGTTCCCATAACAAGTGAAAACCCAAAACAATGTAAATTGATTTATTTTCATGTAATGATACATGCTGATTATCGTTTGCAAATATTTGCCGTAACATTATTTGATCGTATCCAGAATAACACTTAATAGTTTACATATATCTAACTTTACACTACACAATAAGCCTTTTTAACTTAAATGATTATTGTAATATCATTCATTTTTATCGTCATCTTCATCTTACGATAACATACTTTTCCAATAGTGAAAACGTGCATTGATCTGGTCACTATCGTCACAAATTTCTATCTCTTTATGAATCAATCCGCGTTATGAATTAAGCTAATTCCTCATAGTTAATAAACAGTGATAAGTATAACAAATTATCAATTTGTTGATATGTCTATCGTCTGTGAAATATGTATATTTGATGATTATGTACACGATATCAAAAAGAAATTGTATTTAATTGAATTAAAATACCTTCAACATTTTGTTATCTCTTGCAGGTCAACAAAACAATAGTGGATGGATTACACACTCAGACAGATCAGCATAGATATAATCACTACCGAAGCAGAGACGGATTATACATGAGAAATAACTTTCAATACAGTTTACTCAAAGCTCGCACAAGAGATTCAAGTAGAAAATAAATAGTTTGGTAATTCAATTTCAAATATTAATGTTACTTGATAGCAGTTAAATAGCATACGTTATTACTGAATGAACGGCGGTCTTCTTTCATCTGTAGAGTTATGAAATATTTGGAATAATTGTAGCAAAAGTGTGTTAATTATTTTCAATTAATAGAGTGTGTTTGTAAGGCATTTAAAGTAATCAGACTTTCACTTTTCAATGATTTGATTTGTCAGTAAGCCTCTCTGTATATAAGTCCATGATTGAAAATAGCATTTGAACTAAAACATTGTTATATAAATAGTTTTTTATACACAAATGTGGCACAATTAATACGTTTCCTCTCGATTTGTTCTTAAATAATCTATTTTGATTGCACATTTTTATTTTTTCAATTTCTTTTCTTCTAACTTATTACTCGATGTTTACAACTATATCATTTAAAACATGTTACTAGTTCTATTTGTATAACATAAGTATGAAATGGAGATATCCCTCGCTGTCATTATAACAATTGACCATCAATTGGACAGGCTGTTTTATTTCAATAATTCAAATGTCTACCTGTTATCCTCGACACTTCGCATTTAACGGACTGTTTAATGTTTTATTACGAGATCAATATTGAAGGTCGATTTTTGTGGTTAAATCAATAATAAAGAAAAAAAATAAATCGACTTTCGAACTGCATTAATCGATTTCATATCGTTTTAAATTAAGATTTTTTCGCATAGATAGTCAACAGATTTTCAGAGCTATTTTTCAATATAGAAAGCATATCGATTATTTGATATATCACTTCCCAGGTTCCCATAACACGTGAAAACTCAAAACAATGTAAATTGATTTATTTTCATGTAATGATACATGATGATTATCGTCTGCAAATATCTGCCGTAACATTATTTGCATCGTATCCAGAATAACAGTTAATAGTTCACATATTTCTAACTTTACACTACACAATAAGCCTTTTTAACTTAAATAAATAATGTAATATAGTTCATTTTTTATCGTCATCTTCATCTTACGATAGCATACTTATCTAATAGTGAAAACATGCATTGATCTGGTCACTATCGTCACCAATTTTCATCTCTTTATGAATCAATCCGAGTTAAGAATTAAGAGATTCCTCATAGTTATTAAAAAGTGATAAGTATAGTAAATTATCAATTTGTTGATATGCCTATCATCTGTGAAATATGTATATTTGATGATTATGTACACGATATCAAAAAAATTGTATTTAATTGAATTAAAATACCTTCAACATTTTGTTATCTCTTGCAGGTCAACAAAACAATAGTGGATGGATTACAAACTCAGACAGATCAGCATAGATATAATCACTACCGAAGCAGAGACGGATTATAAATGAGGAATAACTTTCAATTCAGTTTACTCAAAGCTCGCACAAGAGATTCAAGTAGAAAATAAATAGTTTGGTAATTCAATTTCAAATATTAATGTTACTTGATAGCAGTTAAATAGCATACGTTATTACTGAATGAACGGCGGTCTTCTTTCATCTGTAGAGTTATGAAATATTTGGAATAATTGTAGCAAAAGTGTGTTAATTATTTTCAATTAATAGAGTGTGTTTGTAAGGCATTTAAAGTAATCAGACTTTCACTTTTCAATGATTTGATTTGTCAGTAAGCCTCTCTGTATATAAGTCCATGATTGAAAATAGCATTTCAACTAAAACATTGTTATATAAATAGTTTTTTATACACAAATGTGGCACAATTAATACGTTTCCTCTCGATTTGTTCTTAAATTATCTATTTTGATTGCACATTTTTATTTTTTCAATTTCTTTTCTTCTAACTTATTACTCGATGTTTACAACTATATCATTTAAAACATGTTACTAGTTCTATTTGTATAACATAAGTATGAAATGGAGATATCCCTCGCTGTCATTATAACAATTGACCATCAATTGGACAGGCTGTTTTATTTCAATAATTCAAATGTCTACCTGTTATCCTCGACACTTCGCTTTTAATGGACTGTTTAATGTTTTATTACGAGATCAATATTGAAGGTCGATTTTTGTGGTTAAATCAATAATAAAGGAAAAAAAATAAATCGACTTTCGAACTGCATTAATCGATTTCATATCGTTTTAAATTAAGATTTTTTCGCATAGATAGTCAACAGATTTTCAGAGCTATTTTTCAATATAGAAAGCATATCGATTATTTGATATATCACTTCCCAGGTTCCCATAACACGTGAAAACTCAAAACAATGTAAATTGATTTATTTTCATGTAATGATACATGATGATTATCGTCTGCAAATATCTGCCGTAACATTATTTGCATCGTATCCAGAATAACAGTTAATAGTTCACATATTTCTAACTTTACACTACACAATAAGCCTTTTTAACTTAAATAAATAATGTAATATAGTTCATTTTTTATCGTCATCTTCATCTTACGATAGCATACTTATCTAATAGTGAAAACATGCATTGATCTGGTCACTATCGTCACCAATTTTCATCTCTTTATGAATCAATCCGAGTTAAGAATTAAGAGATTCCTCATAGTTAATAAAAAGTGATAAGTATAGTAAATTATCAATTTGTTGATATGTCTATCGTCTGTGAAATATGTATATTTGATGATTATGTACACGATATCAAAAAGAAATTGTATTTAATTGAATTAAAATACCTTAAACATTTTGTTATCTCTTGCAGGTCAACAAAACAATAGTGGATGGATTACAAACTCAGACAGATCAGCATAGATATAATCACTACCGAAGCAGAGACGGATTATAAATGAGGAATAACTTTCAATACAGTTTACTCAAAGCTCGCACAAGAGATTCAAGTAGAAAATAAATAGTTTGGTAATTCAATTTCAAATATTAATGTTACTTGATAGCAGTTAAATAGCATACGTTATTACTGAATGAACGGCGGTCTTCTTTCATCTGTAGAGTTATGAAATATTTGGAATAATTGTAGCAAAAGTGTGTTAATTATTTTCAATTAATAGAGTGTGTTTGTAAGGCATTTAAAGTAATCAGACTTTCACTTTTCAATGATTTGATTTGTCAGTAAGCCTCTCTGTATATAAGTCCATGATTGAAAATAGCATTTCAACTAAAACATTGTTATATAAATAGTTTTTTATACACAAATGTGGCACAATTAATACGTTTCCTCTCGATTTGTTCTTAAATTATCTATTTTGATTGCACATTTTTATTTTTTCAATTTCTTTTCTTCTAACTTATTACTCGATGTTTACAACTATATCATTTAAAACATGTTACTAGTTCTATTTGTATAACATAAGTATGAAATGGAGATATCCCTCGCTGTCATTATAACAATTGACCATCAATTGGACAGGCTGTTTTATTTCAAGAATTCAAATGTCTACCTGTTATCCTCGACACTTCGCTTTTAATGGACTGTTTAATGTTTTATTACGAGATCAATATTGAAGGTCGATTTTTGTGGTTAAATCAATAATAAAGGAAAAAAAATAAATCGACTTTCGAACTGCATTAATCGATTTCATATCGTTTTAAATTAAGATTTTTTCGCATAGATAGTCAACAGATTTTCAGAGCTATTTTTCAATATAGAAAGCATATCGATTATTTGATATATCACTTCCCAGGTTCCCATAACACGTGAAAACTCAAAACAATGTAAATTGATTTATTTTCATGTAATGATACATGATGATTATCGTCTGCAAATATCTGCCGTAACATTATTTGCATCGTATCCAGAATAACAGTTAATAGTTCACATATTTCTAACTTTACACTACACAATAAGCCTTTTTAACTTAAATAAATAATGTAATATAGTTCATTTTTTATCGTCATCTTCATCTTACGATAGCATACTTATCTAATAGTGAAAACATGCATTGATCTGGTCACTATCGTCACCAATTTTCATCTCTTTATGAATCAATCCGAGTTAAGAATTAAGAGATTCCTCATAGTTAATAAAAAGTGATAAGTATAGTAAATTATCAATTTGTTGATATGTCTATCATCTGTGAAATATGTATATTTGATGATTATGTACACGATATCAAAAAAATTGTATTTAATTGAATTAAAATACCTTAAACATTTTGTTATCTCTTGCAGGTCAACAAAACAATAGTGGATGGATTACAAACTCAGACAGATCAGCATAGATATAATCACTACCGAAGCAGAGACGGATTATAAATGAGGAATAACTTTCAATACAGTTTACTCAAAGCTCGCACAAGAGATTCAAGTAGAAAATAAATAGTTTGGTAATTCAATTTCAAATATTAATGTTACTTGATAGCAGTTAAATAGCATACGTTATTACTGAATGAACGGCGGTCTTCTTTCATCTGTAGAGTTATGAAATATTTGGAATAATTGTAGCAAAAGTGTGTTAATTATTTTCAATTAATAGAGTGTGTTTGTAAGGCATTTAAAGTAATCAGACTTTCACTTTTCAATGATTTGATTTGTCAGTAAGCCTCTCTGTATATAAGTCCATGATTGAAAATAGCATTTGAACTAAAACATTGTTATATAAATAGTTTTTTATACACAAATGTGGCACAATTAATACGTTTCCTCTCGATTTGTTCTTAAATTATCTATTTTGATTGCACATTTTTATTTTTTCAATTTCTTTTCTTCTAACTTATTACTCGATGTTTACAACTATATCATTTAAAACATGTTACTAGTTCTATTTGTATAACATAAGTATGAAATGGAGATATCCCTCGCTGTCATTATAACAATTGACCATCAATTGGACAGGCTGTTTTATTTCAAGAATTCAAATGTCTACCTGTTATCCTCGACACTTCGCATTTAATGGACTGTTTAATGTTTTATTACGAGATCAATATTGAAGGGCGATTTTTGTGGTTAAATCAATAATAAAGGAAAAAAAATAAATCGACTTTCGAACTGCATTAATCGATTTCATATCGTTTTAAATTAAGATTTTTTCGCATAGATAGTCAACAGATTTTCAGAGCTATTTTTCAATATAGAAAGCATATCGATTATTTGATATATCACTTCCCAGGTTCCCATAACACGTGAAAACTCAAAACAATGTAAATTGATTTATTTTCATGTAATGATACATGATGATTATCGTCTGCAAATATCTGCCGTAACATTATTTGCATCGTATCCAGAATAACAGTTAATAGTTCACATATTTCTAACTTTACACTACACAATAAGCCTTTTTAACTTAAATAAATAATGTAATATAGTTCATTTTTTATCGTCATCTTCATCTTACGATAGCATACTTATCTAATAGTGAAAACATGCATTGATCTGGTCACTATCGTCACCAAATTTCATCTCTTTATGAATCAATCCGAGTTAAGAATTAAGAGATTTCCTCATAGTTAATAAACAGTGATAAGTATAGTAAATTATCAATTTGTTGATATGTCTATCGTCTGTGAAATATGTATATTTGATGATTATGTACACGATATCAAAAAGAAATTGTATTTAATTGAATTAAAATACCTTAAACATCTTGTTATCTCTTGCAGGTCAACAAAACAATAGTGGATGGATTACAAACTCAGACAGATCAGCATAGATATAATCACTACCGAAGCAGAGACGGATTATAAATGAGGAATAACTTTCAATACAGTTTACTCAAAGCTCGCACAAGAGATTCAAGTAGAAAATAAATAGTTTGGTAATTCAATTTCAAATATTAATGTTACTTGATAGCAGTTAAATAGCATACGTTATTACTGAATGAACGGCGGTCTTCTTTCATCTGTAGAGTTATGAAATATTTGGAATAATTGTAGCAAAAGTGTGTTAATTATTTTCAATTAATAGAGTGTGTTTGTAAGGCATTTAAAGTAATCAGACTTTCACTTTTCAATGATTTGATTTGTCAGTAAGCCTCTCTGTATATAAGTCCATGATTGAAAATAGCATTTCAACTAAAACATTGTTATATAAATAGTTTTTTATACACAAATGTGGCACAATTAATACGTTTCCTCTCGATTTGTTCTTAAATTATCTATTTTGATTGCACATTTTTATTTTTTCAATTTCTTTTCTTCTAACTTATTACTCGATGTTTACAACTATATCGTTTAAAACATGTTACTAGTTCTATTTGTATAACATAAGTATGAAATGGAGATATCCCTCGCTGTCATTATAACAATTGACCATCAATTGGACAGGCTGTTTTATTTCAAGAATTCAAATGTCTACCTGTTATCCTCGACACTTCGCTTTTAATGGACTGTTTAATGTTTTATTACGAGATCAATATTGAAGGTCGATTTTTGTGGTTAAATCAATAATAAAGGAAAAAAAATAAATCGACTTTCGAACTGCATTAATCGATTTCATATCGTTTTAAATTAAGATTTTTTCGCATAGATAGTCAACAGATTTTCAGAGCTATTTTTCAATATAGAAAGCATATCGATTATTTGATATATCACTTCCCAGGTTCCCATAACACGTGAAAACTCAAAACAATGTAAATTGATTTATTTTCATGTAATGATACATGATGATTATCGTCTGCAAATATCTGCCGTAACATTATTTGCATCGTATCCAGAATAACAGTTAATAGTTCACATATTTCTAACTTTACACTACACAATAAGCCTTTTTAACTTAAATAAATAATGTAATATAGTTCATTTTTTATCGTCATCTTCATCTTACGATAGCATACTTATCTAATAGTGAAAACATGCATTGATCTGGTCACTATCGTCACCAATTTTCATCTCTTTATGAATCAATCCGAGTTAAGAATTAAGAGATTTCCTCATAGTTAATAAACAGTGATAAGTATAGTAAATTATCAATTTGTTGATGTGTCTATCGTCTGTGAAATATGTATATTTATTGATTATGTACAGGATATCAAAAAAAATGTATTTAATTGAATTAAAATACCTTCAACATTTTGTTATCTCTTGCAGGTCAACAAAACAATAGTGGATGGATTACAAACTCAGACAGATCAGCATAGATATAATCACTACCGAAGCAGAGACGGATTATAAATGAGGAATAACTTTCAATACAGTTTACTCAAAGCTCGCACAAGAGATTCAAGTAGAAAATAAATAGTTTGGTAATTCAATTTCAAATATTAATGTTACTTGATAGCAGTTAAATAGCATACGTTATTACTGAATGAACGGCGGTCTTCTTTCATCTGTAGAGTTATGAAATATTTGGAATAATTGTAGCAAAAGTGTGTTAATTATTTTCAATTAATAGAGTGTGTTTGTAAGGCATTTAAAGTAATCAGACTTTCACTTTTCAATGATTTGATTTGTCAGTAAGCCTCTCTGTATATAAGTCCATGATTGAAAATAGCATTTGAACTAAAACATTGTTATATAAATAGTTTTTTTATACACAAATGTGGCACAATTAATACGTTTCCTCTCGATTTGTTCTTAAATTATCTATTTTGATTGCACATTTTTATTTTTTCAATTTCTTTTCTTCTAACTTATTACTCGATGTTTACAACTATATCATTTAAAACATGTTACTAGTTCTATTTGTATAACATAAGTATGAAATGGAGATATCCCTCGCTGTCATTATAACAATTGACCATCAATTGGACAGGCTGTTTTATTTCAAGAATTCAAATGTCTACCTGTTATCCTCGACACTTCGCTTTTAATGGACTGTTTAATGTTTTATTACGAGATCAATATTGAAGGTCGATTTTTGTGGTTAAATCAATAATAAAGGAAAAAAAATAAATCGACTTTCGAACTGCATTAATCGATTTCATATCGTTTTAAATTAAGATTTTTTCGCATAGATAGTCAACAGATTTTCAGAGCTATTTTTCAATATAGAAAGCATATCGATTATTTGATATATCACTTCCCAGGTTCCCATAACACGTGAAAACTCAAAACAATGTAAATTGATTTATTTTCATGTAATGATACATGATGATTATCGTCTGCAAATATCTGCCGTAACATTATTTGCATCGTATCCAGAATAACAGTTAATAGTTCACATATTTCTAACTTTACACTACACAATAAGCCTTTTTAACTTAAATAAATAATGTAATATAGTTCATTTTTTATCGTCATCTTCATCTTACGATAGCATACTTATCTAATAGTAAAAACATGCATTGATCTGGTCACTATCGTCACCAATTTTCATCTCTTTATGAATCAATCCGAGTTAAGAATTAAGAGATTCCTCATAGTTAATAAAAAGTGATAAGTATAGTAAATTATCAATTTGTTGATATGTCTATCGTCTGTGAAATATGTATATTTGATGATTATGTACAGGATATCAAAAAAAAAATGTATTTAATTGAATTAAAATACCTTAAACATCTTGTTATCTCTTGCAGGTCAACAAAACAATAGTGGATGGATTACAAACTCAGACAGATCAGCATAGATATAATCACTACCGAAACAGAGATAGATGATAAATGAGGAATAACTTTCAATTCAGTTTACTCAAAGCTCGCACAAGAGATTCAAGTAGAAAATAAATAGTTTGGTAATTCAATTTCAAATATTAATGTTACTTGATAGCAGTTAAATAGCATACGTTATTACTGAATGAACGGCGGTCTTCTTTCATCTGTAGAGTTATGAAATATTTGGAATAATTGTAGCAAAAGTGTGTTAATTATTTTCAATTAATAGAGTGTGTTTGTAAGGCATTTAAAGTAATCAGACTTTCACTTTTCAATGATTTGATTTGTCAGTAAGCCTCTCTGTATATAAGTCCATGATTGAAAATAGCATTTCAACTAAAACATTGTTATATAAATAGTTTTTTATACACAAATGTGGCACAATTAATACGTTTCCTCTCGATTTGTTCTTAAATTATCTATTTTGATTGCACATTTTTATTTTTTCAATTTCTTTTCTTCTAACTTATTACTCGATGTTTACAACTATATCATTTAAAACATGTTACTAGTTCTATTTGTATAACATAAGTATGAAATGGAGATATCCCTCGCTGTCATTATAACAATTGACCATCAATTGGACAGGCTGTTTTATTTCAAGAATACAAATGTCTACCTGTTATCCTCGACACTTCGCATTTAATGGAATGTTTAATGTTTTATTACGAGATCAATATTGAAGGGCGATTTTTGTGGTTAAATCAATAATAAAGGGAAAAAAAATAAATCGACTTTCGAACTGCATTAATCGATTTCATATCGTTTTAAATTAAGATTTTTTCGCATAGATAGTCAACAGATTTTCAGAGCTATTTTTCAATATAGAAAGCATATCGATTATTTGATATATCACTTCCCAGGTTCCCATAACACGTGAAAACCCAAAACAATGTAAACTGATCTATTTTCATGTAATGATACATGATGATTATCGTCTGCAAATATCTGCCGTAATATTATTTGCATCGTATCCAGAATACCAGTTAATAGTTCACATATATCTAAATTTACACTATACAATAAGCCTTTTTAACTTAAATAAATAATGTAATATCGTTCATTTTTTATCGTCATCTTCATCTTACGATAGCATACTTATCTAATAGTGAAAACATTCAATGATCTGGTCACTATCGTCACCAATTTTCATCTCTTTATGAATCAATCCGAGTTAAGAATTAAGAGATTTCCTCATAGTTAATAAACAGTGATAAGTATAGTAAATTATCAATTTGTTGATATGTCTATCGTCTGTGAAATATGTATATTTGATGATTATGTACAGGATATCAAAAAAAAATTGTATTTAATTGAATTAAAATACCTTAAACATTTTGTTATCTCTTGCAGGTCAACAAAACAATAGTGGATGGATTACAAACTCAGACAGATCAGCATAGATATAATCACTACCGAAACAGAGACAGATTATAAATGAGGAATAACTTTCAATTCAGTTTACTCAAAACTCGTACGGATGATTCAAATAGAGAACAACAAGTTTGGTAATTCAATTTCAAATATTAATGTTACTTGATAGCAGTTAAATAGCATACGTTATTACTGAATGAACGGCGGTCTTCTTTCATCTGTAGAGTTATGAAATATTTGGAATAATTGTAGCAAAAGTGTGTTAATTATTTTCAATTAATAGAGTGTGTTTGTAAGGCATTTAAAGTAATCAGACTTTCACTTTTCAATGATTTGATTTGTCAGTAAGCCTCTCTGTATATAAATCCATGATTGAAAATAGCATTTGAACTAAAACATTGTTATATAAATAGTTTTTTATACACAAATGTGGCACAATTAATACGTTTCCTCTCGATTTGTTCTTAAATTATCTATTTTGATTGCACATTTTTATTTTTTCAATTTCTTTTCTTCTAACTTATTACTCGATGTTTACAACTAAATCATTTAAAACATGTTACTAGTTCTATTTGTATAACATAAGTATGAAATGGAGATATCCCTCGCTGTCATTATAACAATTGACCATCAATTGGACAGGCTGTTTTATTTCAAGAATTCAAATGTCTACCTGTTATCCTCGACACTTCGCTTTTAATGGACTGTTTAATGTTTTATTACGAGATCAATATTGAAGGGTTAAGTCGATTTTTGTGGTTAAATCAATAATAAAGGAAAAAAAACATAAATCGACTTTTTTTCGCGAACTGCATTATATCGATTTCATATCGTTTTAAATTAAGATTTTTTCGCATAGATAGTCAACAGATTTTCAGAGCTATTTTTCAATATAGAAAGCATATCGATTATTTGATATATCACTTCCCAAGTTCCCATAACACGTGAAAACCCAAAACAATATAAACTGATCTATTTTCATGTAATGATACATGATGATTATCGTCTGCAAATATCTGCCGTAACATTATTTGCATCGTATCCAGAATAACAGTTAATAGTTCACATATATCTAACTTTACACTACACAATAAGCCTTTTTAACTTAAATAAATAATGTAATATCGTTCATTTTTTATCGTCATCTTCATCTTACGATAGCATACTTATCTAATAGTGAAAACATGCAATGATCTGGTCACTATGGTCACAAATTTCTATCTGTTTACGAATCAATCCGAGTTAAGAATTAAGAGATTTCCTCATAGTTAATAAACAGTGATAAGTATAGTAAATTATCAATTTGTTGATGTGTCTATCCTCTGTGAAATATGTATATTTAATGATTATGTACAGGATATCAAAAAAATTGTATTTAATTGAATTAAAATACCTTAAACATTTTGTTATCTCTTGCAGGTCAACAAAACAATAGTGGATGGATTACAAACTCAGACAGATCAGCATAGATATAATCACTACCGAAACAGAGATAGATTATAAATGAGGAATAACTTTCAATTCAGTTTACTCAAATCTCGTACGGATGATTCAAATAGAGAACAACAAGTTTGGTAATTCAATTTCAAATATTAATGTTACTTGATAGCAGTTAAATAGCATACGTTATTACTGAATGAATGGCGGTCTTCTTTCATCTGTAGAGTTATGAAATATTTGGAATAATTGTAGCAAAAGTGTATTAATTATTTTCAATTAATAGAGTGTGTTTGTAAGGCATTTAAAGTAATCAGACTTTCACTTTTCAATGATTTGATTTGTCAGTAAGCCTCTCTGTATATAAATCCATGATTGAAAATAGCATTTGAACTAAAACATTGTTATATAAATAGTTTTTTATACACAAATGTGGCACAATTAATACGTTTCCTCTCGATTTGTTCTTAAATTATCTATTTTGATTGCACATTTTTATTTTTTCAATTTCTTTTCTTCTAACTTATTACTCGATGTTTACAACTATATCATTTAAAACATGTTACTAGTTCTATTTGTATAACATAAGTATGAAATGGAGATATCCCTCGCTGTCATTATAACAATTGACCATCAATTGGACAGGCTGTTTTATTTCAAGAATACAAATGTCTACCTGTTATCCTCGACACTTCGCTTTTAATGGAATGTTTAATGTTTTATTACGAGATCAATATTGAAGGCCGATTTTTGTGGTTAAATCAATAATAAAGGAAAAAAAATAAATCGACTTTCGAACTGCATTAATCGATTTCATATCGTTTTAAATTAAGATTTTTTCGCATAGATAGTCAACAGAATTTCAGAGCTATTTTTCAATATAGAAAGAATATCGATTATTTGATATATCACTTCCCAGGTTCCAATAAAAAGTGAAAACCCAAAACAATGTAAACTGATCTATTTTCATGTAATGATACATGATGATTATCGTCTGCAAATATCTGCCGTAACATTATTTGCATCGTATCCAGAATAACAGTTAATAGTTCACATATTTCTAACTTTACACTACACAATAAGCCTTTTTAACTTAAATAAATAATGTAATATCGTTCATTTTTTATCGTCATCTTCATCTTACGATAGCATACTTATCTAATAGTGAAAACATGCATTGATCTGGTCACTATCGTCACCAATTTTCATCTCTTTATGAATCAATCCGAGTTAAGAATTAAGAGATTTCCTCATAGTTAATAAACAGGGATAAGTATAGTAAATTATCAATTTGTTGATATGTCTATCGTCTGTGAAATATGTATATTTGATGATTATGTACACGATATCAAAAAAAAATGTATTTAATTGAATTAAAATACCTTAAACATTTTGTTATCTCTTGCAGGTCAACAAAACAATAGTGGATGGATTACAAACTCAGACAGATCAGCATAGATATAATCACTACCGAAACAGAGATAGATTATAAATGAGGAATAACTTTCAATTCAGTTTACTCAAATCTCGTACGGATGATTCAAATAGAGAACAACAAGTTTGGTAATTCAATTTCAAATATTAATGTTACTTGATAGCAGTTAAATAGCATACGTTATTACTGAATGAACGGCGGTCTTCTTTCATCTGTAGAGTTATGAAATATTTGGAATAATTGTAGCAAAAGTGTGTTAATTATTTTCAATTAATAGAGTGTGTTTGTAAGGCATTTAAAGTAATCAGACTTTCACTTTTCAATGATTTGATTTGTCAGTTAGCCTCTCTGTATATAAATCCATGACTGAAAATAGCATTTGAACTAAAACATTGTTATATAAATAGTTTTTTTATGCACAAATGTGGCACAATTAATACGTTTCCTCTCGATTTGTTCTTAAATTATCTATTTTGATTGCACATTTTTATTTTTTCAATTTCTTTTCTTCTAACTTATTACTCGATGTTTACAACTATATCATTTAAAACATGTTACTAGTTCTATTTGTATAACATAAGTATGAAATGGAGATATCCCTCGCTGTCATTATAACAATTGACCATCAATTGGACAGGCTGTTTTATTTCAAGAATACAAATGTCTACCTGTTATCCTCGACACTTCGCTTTTAATGGACTGTTTAATGTTTTATTACGAGATCAATATTGAAGGGCGATTTTTGTGGTTAAATCAATAATAAAGGAAAAAAAATAAATCGACTTTCGAACTGCATTAATCGATTTCATATCGTTTTAAATTATGATTTTTTCGCATAGATAGTCAACAAATTTTCAGAGCTATTTTTCAATATAGAAAGAATATCGATTATTTGATATATCACTTCCCAGGTTCCCATAACAAGTGAAAACCCAAAACAATGTAAACTGATTTATTTTCATGTAATGATACATGGTGATTATCGTCTGCAAATATCTGCCGTAACATTATATGCATAGTATCAAGAATAACAATTAGCCGTTTTCAACTGTCTAACTTTACACTATATCAAAAGCCATTAGAATTTAATAAATTATTGTATATCGTTGGATTTTTATCTTCCTTTTAACCAAAGCTCGTACGAATGCTTCAATTAGTCACTATCTTCCCAAATCTCTATGTTTGTATGAATCAATCCGAGATATTCATTCATATATAGTCCGCAGGTTTTGCAATATATCCTACTATACACTTAGCATTACGGTTCCCGTAACACGTTGAAATCATAAACAAAATAATGTTATTACTTGTCATGACATAATACATTATCATAATCCTTTTCTCAAATTTGCTATAACATAGCGTTAATTGGAGTTATCACATATATCTAATTTATCATTATATAAATACTGATTGATTGTACATTAATACAGGTTATTATTAGTGTAAACATTGAAATAATTTTAGATATCTCCCTGTATAATTTCTAAGAACAACTTAGTTCATTAAATAGAATGGTGTATTTTTTAATGTTATTAGGCTGATCAAAATAGAACTGAATATCAGTGAACCTTAGATGTTATGTTATAATTATATCACCACAAATCATATCATTATATTCCCTATCAAAAATATTTTGAATACATGATAAAGCCTATGTAGAAATAAGGGATATATACATCTTTGGTGCTTCGTTCGGTGTAATATTATCTGAAAAAAAATCCTATAAAACGTTGTTTATTTAACGTCAATTAAAAGGAATTATTCATTAAATTTATTTTCTCATTTTCTTGATTTTGATACCGATGTTATTTATATAAGCTATTTATTTACCTGAGGTAAAAACTTAAGACTAACTTAATTGTAGATGTGTATTTTTTATTTATCATACGTATGATATTCAATATGTGCAAATAAATATCGTCTGCCTATAGGATATAGAATTGTAAACTATCTAAGGAATGTATTTACTGCCTACAGAATAAGGTAGCTGACTGCTGTGTGTTTACTGTCTTTGTATTATTTTCCATGTCTTTTGCGTACTTTCATTGTTTCGGGTATCAGTTGTATGGGTAATATATACAATATCTGCTTACATCAATAAGCAAATGATGAGGAATATGTATACTGGTTTAGGAAAGAGTTCACTGTCTGTGACATAATCATATATATAATCAATTGGAAATATGTTTATTGTTGGTTACCATGTTTACTGACTTTGAAATATGTACAATGTCTCGTGTATTGGTAGATTTCTGGAGTAATATATAAATGATCTGTGTTATATGATTGGGGATTGAAGAATATGCATCCGCTGAGGATTCTTTATATGTTTATGTTTAGGATCTGGTAGGGAAATATAAATATTTCTTTTTGAACTTGGTCATTTTCTCGCGGAAATGTGTACTAACTAAACATTGTGCACACTGTATCAATACAATACGTAAATTTTAACACTAAAACATTTGTACATCTCAGACAAGGCAACAAAATAATGAATAAAAATTATTAATAACACACTCGGATAAAGTACTATGAATGCAAGCATTACCTAGACAAAGTCAGAGAATCAATAACGATCATCCTTCCATTTTTACTTAAAGCACCAAAATATGTTTCAAAATATGAAATAACCAGTATTGTAAACATTATTTGTATTTCTCCAGGCAATTCAATAAATTTAAGTTTCCCCGCGCTGTTCCCATCACTATACATTTAGTCATAAGATCTAGCCCGATGACTTATATTTGTGTTAGAAATCACACCTCTAAAAACATGAACAGATCTTAACATTCAGCATCCTGTAGAACTTAATCTAAGTACAAAAGACACACAAGTGAATACAGGTGTTTCGTCCTTCAAGGACTCGTCAGTGACGCTAAAAGCCTAAAGTGGAGCAACTAGACAAGGTCATCGAATAAGCTTATGAAATAAAAAATATTGTAACTTGTATATATGTACTACATCATATTTGAGAGATGGGATATGAGGACATTCAAATTTCAGTAAGGATTTCTTTTCTATAACATACAGAATAACAGATAAATGATTACATGTTACAACATATCATATTCTACTTTCTTAAAGGTAAATATGTCCTTGAATCTAGTGTTTCAAGAGTTTCAGAATAAACATAATTCCAGCATGAACATGTTTGTATTAATAGTGAGAAAGCATGGTTAACAGTACAAAATATTAAAATGTATAATCAAAGTACATCCCAACATATAACATAGTTACCACAATGTTACTTTTGGTATAATGCAGCTTATTAATAATATAAGATATATATATGTGGTAACTTACCGACTAAACAGACTCTGTGCAAAACAATCATAATGGTGTATAATCCCTTGATTAATGACATGGTTAAATGTGACTGACTATAGACAACGACTCTTTTAAACTCGGATGTTATCCGGTCTATCAAGATGGTTGGCAGGGGGAGGAGCTCAGCTGAACGTTCGGTATATTAAATTAAATTGTATCTGCATAAAGCGTTATTACAGATGTGCGATTCACTTTCGATGTTTAGCATGAAAGCATGGGTCATCCTGCAAATGACACATTCAGCTGAATGAATGTTTTGAGCTCAAGAATTAATTTTATTTTTTCTAAATGTACTCCTGATATAAATATATATGTTTTTACTCCTAATTACTATCTAACTTTTACATTTTTCTCGGAAAATGCTGTACAAACTGTTTTGAAAATCGTAAAAAGTCAAGAAAGAATTAGAAAATGCTTACATTTTACAAGGAGATGAGTGGTCAGGTGGGTGAATGTATAATACCGGTCATGTTACCGGGGTAATCAATAAACAGAATATGGTATAATGTGTTAGTTCCCGAAGGGAATGAAAATCCTGATTATGATTTTGATATTATACCTGTAAGGGATCAGAATTTACGAGGCGATGTCGGAAATACCTCAGCGGACTATAACAGTTATCGTACGTGCTTAACCTAGCAATGAGCTGACATAAAGTGTCAGTCTATGTGAAATCATTTTTGGAACTTTCTAGTTGCAAACCAATGTCCACTACTCTTAGCCTACTGTCAAAGCATTTCTCTCAAACAAATGTTGCTCTGATCAGAGAAACGTATATATATTGAAAAGGAATTAGACATTACCTAGTACTTTCTGTCTTAGTGAGATAGTGTTATCTACACTTGCCAAAACAATGGATGGACTTAATGAAAATAACCATTGGCGAAGATGTAATGTCTACAAATCACCTTGAAATCTGCTCTGCTTCAATATTTATACCTTTCATAAATTAAAGATATCTCTTTTTTGCATCAGAAAGAATATGTCTTGAAAGATTAAAGCAACTAGGTTACACCTACATTCTACAAAAATGCTCTGAACAAAGACAGTCACAATGTTTTGCAATGTCTTACCAGCCTTATCTTAATCCTTTTGAGATAGTCCTTCAGGATAAAACTCATGTTTTAAAATCATGAACAATCTGTACTTACTCTTTTTAGCTGCTTTCAAGCAGGGCATTGTATATCAGACTACACTCCTCACTCCCCCTGAAAGTGTCATATTGTGCTATTCTACTGGACTTCTCCAACTTCGACTCCCTAATACATGGACATCTTTATTCTTGATAATATTTACTAGATTTGGAAATTTACCCGGAATATGTTTGCCGACGGAGCCATTCAGATTATAAGATACCTATCAGAAATTAAGTCAACACATGATATGCTGGTAAGGTAATAATGGGATCAAGCTAACCCAAACATACGGCTGGGTACGAAATTAAAACAGTTTATTACTACTATTAACTTTGTGCAACTTTGAAATTAAATGTGAGTAGAATTTAGAATTATTAGTGATACATATTGTGTGTATTTGCGTACAATTGATTGCCGTATTGTTGAAGAGTGGAGACACAACATCTATATAATAAAAATAATATATAATTTGTTTTCATAAAATGCACCAAAAAACTGCATATCCAGGAAATGTCATTAATATTGTTTAAAACGATTTTATCAAGCCTTTGAGTGCAGTTTTAGAGGGGCCGCAATGGTTCAGTTCTCCATACCAAACGATTTAAAAGTATAGTGGTAAAAGTTTGTGATTCTAAAAAGGGTCTCACCACTCTACTTCTCAAACCTTGTGAACATGGATTATTCCCATCATAATTTTAAAAGTGACATATTGTTCATATCCCTCTTCATCAGAACCATCAGGTACGCTACGAAATACTTCCGTTTCGAGGCATCCGATGCATGGAACAGCTTATCAAATGATATTAGACAGTCTGAAGTATTTCCTGTCATTCAGAGGATGTTGCGAACATGAGATGGCTCGAAATGTAGGTGTGGTATTTGTTTGTGGTCATTTTATGACTCATTTAGATATGTTAAAATTTGTATTGTGCGATATGAAACTAGGCCTGTTGGATACTCTTTAGTTTGCCTATTGGTTCCGTTGTTACATTCCTTGTCGCAGTGTGACGTTGTTTACTTGGAATGACCGAAATTTACACATCGGGTATTGTCGATTAAGCAGAATGCGCACAATCTTTCTGAATAACTGGTCTTAATGTCCATGTACTTTTTTCACGAGCCTTCCTGAAAATCAGTTTTCATAGTTTATCCCAGTTTTATTGAATTCGAATTTGGGTTATGATTATATTTACATGTTTGTACGTTCTTGTTGTCTTTGTCAAAGTTATTGTTTTAAATTGGTTTTTGTCAACCATTTCAAAGTTTTCAGTTGATGTCTTTAAGTGTACTTACTGAGTAAAGAAAAATATCTTATTGCTGTTTTTCGTCGTAATGACAACGATACTAAGTATTTTATTTTTTATTATTTTTGCAATAACGATGTTAATTAAACAAATCTGATATTTTGGGAAATCATTATACAGGAAATCTCATTTAGGGAATAAATATACCGGTTATATTTTTTAGAATTCCTATGCATTAATGCGATGACTATGAAATAGATCAAAATAGCTTCTGAAATACGAACGGTGATTATTGACTGAAGTAAGGGATGCCTAGATAGATAATTTAGTACGAGGCACATATACTTAGTATAGTCGGTTTTAGGGGAAGATCTTTAGAGCTGACATTTGTGGTGGTGTCAATATCTATATACTTTTTAATAAATGGTAAATATTCGTGTTATGTAGTTTGTGTCTAACTTCCGAAGTTAACGTTTTGGATGTCTTTGTTTGTTTACCTCCTAATACAAACACTACCAGTGCGTATCTTGTATTTACGAAGTACATGTCTAGTCAAAACGCTTCAACAATTCACCAACAACTCATTTGATACAAACAATAGTCCATGACAAGTATGTTGAAATGATTAAAAAATAACAAGAATATATAGACATGTGAAGACTTAAGAGTTCTGGGAACCCTCACTATTCTAAAATCCTATCTCGAAATGTGTCCCTTATGTCAAGTGGTGGACTATTGGTTCAAAGTTCACCATTATCTGTTTCCGCTCAGTACTTACTGCGTACAGACCTGTATCTTCATTATAACCCTACCAAGCGATGTCTCATTCGATTTATTTGAGGGCCACAGCAAAACTTTCCAGTCTCTCTGAGGTCACTTACAGCTTGACTAATTCGTTACATACTTAGGAACTTCCTACACAATATTTGTATCTATGTAGACACTACGGGAAGGTTATGTACACGTGTAAACATAAATAATGAACGTAACAGTAATAAAACGCTTCACGTACAACTTAATACAAATATCTAATATCATATATATATAAAAACACAAAATGTTGTACTGTATCTACTTCTGTAGCTGATAACAATTATATCCCAGCCTTACACAAATGTACAAAGCCCACACATGTGAACATTACGTTAGACACCGTAGAGCCAAATAGTAACTGAAAATGCATCATACGTCATTCCGTTCATCTAGGATTCGTCAATGATGCTTAGTTGAGAAGGCGATTGAGGAAAAACCCAGCGTGATCGAAAGAAAGGAAAGAAAGTCAAACTAGTGATGCAGAGATGCACTAGCTCAATAACTCAACTAATGTGTTTTTCGTAATTTCAATGTATATGATCATTTTAAGAACGGACTGTACGTAGACGATATGTATTCGTGTCTTCAGTTATGAAAAATATATTTCACGAGTGTGTCTGATATTTCGGAATCTTTCACTAGAGCTGCGCAAAAGTATTGGTCTGAGTTAATTTGTAAATCCCTAATAAAACACCAACAAAATACGCAGGTGTTGGAGCTATATGTTATGTAATCTCCTAACCTCTTTCTATAACAATAATTGAATCGATTGTGAATTCATTATTCCAATTAACATTAAGTTTAAGAATAATTTTAATTTGTTGCGCTTGTGAAAGTAAACACTAATGGGAATACCATTTTCACACTTAGGATATTGTGATACTTTAATTGAATAAGAAATACTTTTAGTATATAGCCTAATGTGCGGACACTTGTGTCAGTTTATTAGCTGATAAACTTTTCAATCTCCGCTTCCTTCGGACATGTTTTAGTATAGATACGTTGATACTAAACAGTACAAATTTTGACTGATATTTTCATTGATAAACTTGTTTGATAGAAAATGAGTTGCTTATAAGAAATGGATTTTTTTCTTAATATTAAATGGTAAACACCAATAACATATCACAAACTAGCCATGTGAATGAAGTAAATTGGTCTTTTCATATCATGAAATCCGATATCCCTTATTCCATTTTTAAATATACAATTATCTCAATAATACATATTTAGTTAAATCATTTTAATGTTTCATCTTCTACAATGTTTACATATACCTCTGAAATACACCACACCTATAATAATTATTTGCGCAGAATCACATCTACAGAGTATTGTTTTAATCGTATTGATAAATCAATCTGGTTCAGACTGAAATCAATTATACATTATCATTATGTATAAAGAGGATAAAGATAAACGGACATATTTGTTAATGTTATCCGACAGTTGTGTGTCAGATTGTCATATTAAAGCCCAGATCCGAACGTGTTGTATCACAGAAGATTAAATGTTTAATTCTACATTCAGGTTGGTATTTGTACCTTTTACAGCAGTTGCTTTATTCATGTTTAGATGTGATATAAAGCGGAAATAATTGTCCCTTTTAAACTTCGTCAAGAAAAATGATAAAAACTAAATATATAGAACAGAATAAAATCCATTACTTTTAGTCCTGGGTTTCTATTAATCAAATAAAACCAAGCATCCTCTGCCCTTCCAGTGAAAACAATAAATAACCGTGAAAACCTGCCGTGTCATTACTTTGATATCAATTTTGACATCACAGGTAGCCTACACTTAAACAACAAATTGCCAATTGCTTATTTGTATAAGATCTTGTAAGATATTTGGGGAAATGTGCTTTGGAAACACAAATTAAGCCCCAT